TTTCAACGCCTTCATGTCACAAGTTTGAGTTGCAAAAAGGACAGGGCTTATGTCTATGTTCGACGAACTGCAATCCAGAAATGCTCACCGACAACTTTGCATCCTCGCTTAGCAAGTTCCAATGCGTAAGTTCTCCCAAGTCCACCACCAGCTCCCGTTACTATCGCCACTCGACCATCAAAACGGAGTGCCATATCTGTCAAATGGATTCGATAGAATTTCCAAATTAGAGCTAAATCAATGTAAAATTAATGCGACGAATATTCTCTCTAGAAAATATGATTCTTCTTCAACGACGAATCGTACGCTCATTCTCAACGGATTGTGGCCGTTAGCATGTGGGAGGTGAAAAAGCTCGTCACCGTATCAGCGGGCCAATCTCTCCTATTGAAAGTGCACAGGGGCTTCATGGACCCGCATGCCGTTTCCGCACTCCGCCTGCGCTGCCACACTGCACCGCCGGTCCATCCACAGTCAACGCTACTTATCCAGTCCCTCGCGCTTCTACTTGATTCCTACCGCAGACCGTGTGTCTCACTGCGGCATCTCGGCAGCGACGTAAGTGCTGCACCCTAAACGTAGCACGGCGACGTGCGGAGATGGCCCTCCTAGTACTATCCATCAGCTCCGCTCCCGTGCTTTGTGCGGAAAAAGTGGTACGCTATTCCGTCCGACACCCCGTACAGACAGCCCTACACACCCCCTTAACTGTACACCCACCTACGAGGACAGTCTTTTACATTTGTGGGGTTAGTGGGCCCGGTAGCCGCGAACCCACTCACCGACAAATGGAAAAGGCTGTCTCCGCCGGTGGGTGTACGTCTTTTATTCATGGCCCCAATATACCTACACTTGAAAACACTAGTCGCACAGCACGATGCCACTGAGTACATCGAAATATGTGAGCAGCCCTGTAGTGGTTGTATTGGCAGAAGCAACACCAATCCGTTACGCCTATGATCAACCGTCCCTTTCCCCCTAATCAGCCTGATGGCTTCTATGCCATGGTTTCAGGATGTGAAGGATAGCGCACTCGCCTAGCAAGTGCAAGAAGAGGGTTCGAGTACCGCCTCGGGGTCGAGACTTTTGCCCATGACTCAGCATTCTTGTTATAACTTTTTTGTAGCGCGAACTGAAACGTTTAAGGGCAATCACCGTTATAGAATCAGGATTCCTTCAAATCTACCGCTGGTCTCGAAAAGGGACTGGGTGAAATTGTAGGTCTCATTCCTTCAGGCTCAATCACACTGATAGGGATCATAGTTTAGTTTCGATTCTACTATGGACGCGCAATTTTTCATTGCGTAAAATTGAAATTTCTCGGAATCCACGAGGAAATATCACATGTGTTTAGAGTGTATGGATCTGCTCTATGTGCGTTTTGTGAAGAGCGGTAGAGTAGCGCCACGTACACTTATCCCTGAGATAGAGTAGGCGTGGCATTTGAACATAGCATAGGATGGGTTAATCGTGGGATATTTCAACTTTACAAGCTGTTATCTTGTTTGCCTTGGACAAAAGCATAATTACAACTGTTTCAAAATGAAAATATTTCACGGAAACCTTGACCGCCGCTACGTTTGACTCAGGTACGCAGCCACACCTACCGCATCTCAGGGATTTTGATTGTATGCACTATTGTTGGGTCCTGTAAATAGGTATGAATGCT